GAGCTCCCTTGGCAAAGCGACTGTGCGCGAGGAGAGTGCCAGCAGCAGTGTGTGTGGAGGCTGAAAATGCCAGGGAGCCTGAGCCCTGGCCCTCCAGAATGGCAGCTGCCTAAAATCTTTTATTTTTAATAATAAAGATGTCAAACAATATACATGTCCCTTGGAAACCAGCGGGTTCTTGAAAGGCAGCAAATGGGCTGTGGGCAGTTTCTGGTGCAGCGGTAGCCCCCCTTTCCCTGTGCCGTGAGGCACCGTGTCCGGTTACACAACTGCATGTGGTTTTACCAAGAGATCACCACCATCTCCTGCTTCAACGGGAGGTATGTAGGGAAAATATCTATATGCCCATATAGATATAAAGGTATGGTTCTGCTCATACACCCTTTACCCCTGTAGTTTATGGTTTATAAAGGCAGGCAGCGCTTTGGTAGCGCTGGGCAATAAACGTCACCTTTCTCAATGACTGTGGCTGCTAGCCTGCAGAAAAATTATTGCTCTCTGCACAGGTTAGTTTAGCAGGGCTCAGGTGAGGGTTAGAAATAACGCAGTGCTGCCTCCTCAGCGAGCAACAAGATGGATAGTTTTGTTTCTGAAGAGACAACGGCTTTTGTTGTGGGAGAGAGTTAATTTGGGCTTGAAAGACTGAATGATTTATTTAAAGCCAAAAATACTTTAAAGGAGCTCAGTGAGTAAGGATGTAAACCAGAACTGAAAATAGCCATAGATATATTTTAATTTTCCTATTCTGAGCCCATGGCAAACTCTTTCAGGACAGGCCATGATCTCTTTCTGTGAGGAAATGCATGCAGTGTACTTCTGATGGCTTCATTTTCTTCTTAAATAAAGACTTTTAAGCCTGCATGAAGACTAAATTTAAACCATCTGTTTGAAGTTAGTAAGGAGAAAATTGCATTTCATGAAGTCCAAGTGTTTTATCTTCATGATGCATCAAGTTGAAGATACTGCTGTAAGATGTTTCTCCTGCCCGTGGTCATTTCACAGCTAGTGAGTGTTGGTGTTATTTTATCCTTCTCTAACTTAAAGTGGAAAGTGTGTTTTGAGTGGAATTGGTTTTTAATACTTAAATTGTTTTTAATTGTTTTTTAATACTTTAAAAACATATTTTAAAAGGGATTGACTTGGAAGTAATAAAGAACTAATATTTCTTGCATTTTTTTTCATTGAAGTTGCCTTGGATGCCTTCTGTATTAAACTTGAATGTGTTATTGGTTCCTGAAGATTAAATTAATTTAAATGAATGGAAGATTTTTCAGAGAAAACACAGGCATTCCACCAATAAATGCTTGCTATAAAAAAAAAAAAATTACTTGTTTAGTATTTCTAAACCAATTTTATATTCAATTAAATTAAGGGAGGAAGCAGTACTTGAATGAACAAACTCCTACACAAATACAAACAAATAATTCTTAATCTCTGCTGCTAATTTAGATTAGAGAAGAAGCACAGCCTGGCAAAATACTGTGGATGCAGTGAAGGGACCTATTGCTTCATGATTTCCTAAACATCACACTATTTTTGCCCTGCTGCTTCATCAGACTGAGAAGAAGAATATATAACACGAGTGACATTCTCTGAGGCTGTCACAGAACAAACGTTCTGCTAACTTCGACGTTTCCATTAGTATGAATGTGATATTTCTTGTGTGATATTTCTTTTGACTTCCTTGTCTTTGAAATTCCATGGCATGTAGTGCTTCCCGGGGAAACTAAAGGTCTCCTCACCCCTTTTCCCTTCCTGCTTCTCAGAATGTAGTTAAGCTTTTTTGATGCTTAATATGTCATTGTTGGGCTTGTGTTGGGAAAGTGGCTTTTTTCTTTCTTTTTTTTTTTTTTTTCTCTTCACTCTATTTGGATATAAATGTATTAATGAAACAGTTGGAAATCTTTTTAAATAATCTTTTTAAATTGAAATGTAATAGGAGCAGCAGTTTGTCCTCCACACAGATTGTAAGAATTAGATGTTTCAAAGAGAGAACTTGGGGAAAAAAATTGTTTTATGGAAAACTTAGAATGTATCTCAAATCTAAAATGTTTGCTGCTTGGCCTCTATCTTTTTTTTCTGTTAATCTCTGACATAATTGAAGAGGTCACTAGAACAGAAGGGTCTACTTGGAATTACAGTTTCCTGTTTAAACTAAAAGTCTTAAATTGTTAAACTAATCTTTTAAATCAATTTAATTATTGAACATAGTGAGTAGAAAGATGGTAGCTTGTTTTAAACATTATAACACAGAGAAAGTTAGTTTACATAAAGAAATGGATCTGTCTAACTAGAAAATATGCTCTTGGATTGAAAGCTTTTGGTAGTGAAAGTGCAAAGTTCTGGATTTGAAAGAAGTGCAAAGGTAGAATTCTTGTTGAGGTACCTGGAGTCTAGGCCACTGTTCTCCAGCTGAACAGCTGGACTTATTGCTTATTTATAGTTGCTTTTTATAGGCAAACTGGAGCAATATTACAACCCACTTAGGACTTGTTTCAGAAGTCTGCTCTAATGTTTGGAGATTACTCTTTCAATCTAAGTACTACCTGCCTGCATCTAGCACTGAGCTTTGTATGAATTTGAAAGCTGAGTGAACTCTTTGCACCACCTGCAGTGGCAAAATGCCTCTCAAATAAATAATTATTAGATTGCTACCTTATCCATGATCCTGATGTTAAAGGAATATAATTAAGAGAGATATTGAATGTGATACCAAGTGGGGGTGCGCAGGTAGTACTGACGTGCCGCTGCCTTTAGCTGGCCTGTGTGGGACTTGTATATGTTGCACTTTGGGGGTCTTAGTATCCAGATGACAGGGGAAGGTGCTGATCTCCTTCAAGAATAAGTGGCCCAGAATTGCCAGTGACTAAAACTTTTGAACTGCAATAAATAAGGCAATGTTTCTAAACCAGAGCTATGCAGAACTGATCAAATGATTTGCAAGTTGGTAGAGTATCCTGCCAGCGTGATTGGTTAGTTGGTCTTGGTAGAACATGTTGAGGTGTGCTCCATGAGCACTTTGTAGGAGACAGCCTATATGGCAAAATTTAAGAAAGATGGTTTTGTCTGGGAGCAAGGCACAAGGAACTCCATATCGAACTGTTTGAGTACTTGGTTTCCTGCAAGCAGGTACCATAGCTGTTGTAGAAGGAGCTCCCTTCCAGGCCTTTGTACTGCTGGTCCCGTTTCCTTTCACTGCTTATTTCCTGTGAACCAGAGAGTTTGGAGCTCTTGCACAGATGAGGCTGGTCTGGCTGGTGTAGGATTCCCCTTTTGCTCCAGTAATACCAAGAGCTTTTGACATGTCTTGAATTAAGAATTGGCAGGTTAGAAGACAAGAGGGAAAAGTTTCATCAAGTTTGTTCATCGTTGGGTTTATAAAAAACTGAAGTGGGCTTCGCTTCTTCCAGGAGAGTTAATAGAAGGATAAATGCTGCAACGTTTCCATTCTTCACATTTCACTGTATTATCATATTTTTGTAGTTAGCAAATTGTATTAAATAATCCATATATGTCTTAAACAGCCAAGATAGGATACTTGCTTTTGATGTTTTCTACTGAAATCTATTTTTCTTTTATACCTGAAATGTTCTGTGTTAGCTGTGCTGGCATAAAAGCCAATAATGAGGGTATCTTGACACTTTGCCATACAACTCTGTTTCCTATGAGAAATTCCTATATGTATTTTTCGATGCTTTGACTATCAGACTGTGATTTTCTATGCCAGGTGCCTATCCCAGACTGAAATTTATGAAACATGATTTTTGAGAATGAAATGGAGAAAAATTAAATTTCACCTAAGCTAAACCCACAATTGTATCTGCATGGAGTGGCTGTCATTCCCTTTGAGGCTTGGAGTAGGGGCTGAAATCTACAGGGAATTCTCTGTACTGTTCCTTCTGCTGTTCTTACGAAAAATCTGTCTAAACAAAGTTAATATCCTCTAAAAATCATAGCTCATGTATAGTTTTGTCCAGTGTTTCTGCTGCTCTTGTGCACATTGGCAGTGCTTGCAGAAAGGTAGATGTCACTTTTGCAGCAAGTACCAACTGTGGCTTTCTCTGTTTCATGGAAGACTGTAATCCCGAGAAGGAGCTGCGGTTAATGCTGCCCTTGTGCAGGTTGCTCGATTGATATCTTGGGAATGACTTGACTTCCCTTCTCTTCTGCCTTCCCTTCACATGCCTGGAATAAACAGAACAGGTTTCAAAGAAAAGGTACCGCTCAGTCTAAGATTGGGGGCAGAATTAAGAGCAAATTAGAGGAAACAAAGAGCGGGATTATTTGCCTTTTTTTTTTGGTTAATTTTCTTAGTAACAATGCAAAGAGATATTTGTTTTGGCCTGGATGTTGATTCAAGCCACTGAGAGCACCTGCAATAGGGAATCTGGAAGCAGAAAGAAAAGCTTCTACCTTCAGTAGCCATTAGTTAAACTAATTAGTAGATTCATTGCTACAGTGATTTTTAATATTTTGACCTTAAAGAAATCCCAGTGAGTTAACAGATCTGATCATACTGCCTGCCATAGCTGAAAGGTCTGTGTATACACAAGTTGACAGTGGTATTTGATCAAAGCCCTGGTTAGTAAGTCAAGGATATTCAAGGGAGTAAACAAATGTGAAAAGATACCTCTGGCCTACTCTTCAAGTTGGTTTGATGGGAAAATATTTCACTGTTTTCCCACCCCATTTAAGTAGTCTATGACTTTGAGTGTGCAGAAGATAGTGTGCACTACTACCCAGTGGTGGTAAGTGCAGGGAGCTGGAGTGGTGACGTGTGATGTCCTCAAGGAGAGGGGAGGAAGGGCTGCAATGGGGCTGGAGGTAGCCCAGCCAACAGGGATTGGCTGAATGTGCAACTTGGTTCTGTCCTCAGAAACAGTGGACCCAGAAAAAGTTGCTCTTGGATTACATGGCCTGGGAGTATTGATCTTTAAGGCTCAGACTACGCAGTCTGAGTGCCTTGAATTTTAACGTGCCTCTCCTTTCTGCTCCTCTAGCTGAAATGCCTGCTGCTTTCGTGACAGGATTATAAGCTTTGATACTGAGAAGAGCAAAACTGGAAGATGCCATCTGAAAGGTGTCTCAGGTACAGTACCCTGTAGTGTGCAGAATGCCCTTCACATTGAGCATGTTTATCACAACATCTGTTAGCAGGTCCTACAGATGCAATGCTAGTAATTTTGTGCATTAGATATTCATATTAGATAGCACACTGTAGCATTAGATACTATAACCGGCAAGGGTTGGCTTTTTTTTTGCCATTCGTCTTCAGCGAAGGGAAGTGATTGATTTGGGTCTCCCGAGCCTTTCGTGTGCCATCTTGATTATGCCCTTGCCTATACTTGGAATTTTTGATGGTGGAAACAATTGGCAATTTACAATTGTGTGGGAGGTACCTAGATATTGGATGTGCAGAGCATTCCAGTGTTCGAGACATACAGTATTTTTTCTCTTTCTGTGAAATGGTCTCTAAGCATCCTCTCTGCCCTTCTTCCTCTTTCCCTCTTATGGGGCCTTAATCACCCATAGGTAGTAGCTAGTCTGGCCCTTTTCCTCTATTTGTATTGCCCGTTGTCTCAGCAGAGAATTCTGTATTTAGAAACCTAATTAGTTTCTGGGTGCACTTTCAGGCAATACATGGTGCAGAACCTTCCACTAACCTGACACACCACACACCTGGCAGCTTAACAGAGTTGCTAGCACTCACGGGCAGATCTGAGTGCTTGGAGACTTTTAGCTGTTGAGTGTTAGCTTAGGGACAAAATAGGTAAGTAACGTTTGATAAATCAATGTTATCTCATTCATAAGATCTGTTTAAACTGTCTTGTATGGGTGTACCTGCTACCTATATTGCTCTGATAAAGGATATAGAGTTGATTTTTTTTTTTCACTTTGGTCATTGAATTGAAAAAAGAGTTTTGAAATTGAAAAACAAAATTGAAGCTGAAAAAGATAAGCTGCATTTAAAAATAGTGGTTTTATTTAGTATTCATCAGAGCTATGACACTTGTCCAGTTTACTGAATAGTCTTGTCTTGCAAAAAGTGTTCACATTCTGCTGCTAACGTGGACTTCTTCCTTGCAGTTCTTGATCAAACCTCTCACCCCTTCACCCGCCCCCTTTACGTTTTCAGTGTCCAGGAAATGCTGACAGGGCAGAGGCTTTGCCAGTCCAGCTCCCACCACGACGCCGTCCTGGCCGCCCTGAACCAGCAGCGCAGCGACGGCGTCCTCTGCGATGTCACCCTGGTGGCCGAGGAGCAGAAATTCCACGCACACAAAGCCGTCCTGGCCGCCTGCAGCGACTACTTCCGCGTGAGTCCGCAGAGCTCCTGCTTCCCACGTAGCGTAACGATGATGAAAAGCTCCCCGAAAGTGGGAGAGAAACAGTTGGAGATTTGGTACCGAGCAAGCTTTAAGTCTGAGCCTGTGCAAATTTGGGGATAGTGCAATTAAAATGCAAGTAGAAGAATGAAGAACATCTCTTTTTATCCTTATTTATGATTTAGTCATCTTTGTCTTTTACAGTAGAGAAAGGCAGTGTGTAGCCTTCTATGAGGTTGATACCTCAATGAATCTGAAAGAGGATGGTTATTTTCATGCCTCAGGTGTTGGGGTCACTTGTGATTAGTGTGTGGGAAGGTGAGGAGAGCAAATTTAAATATGAATAAATATAGTTTATATATTCTTGAGAGGGCTTCCATTGCGATGACAATGGTCTCTCTCAAAGAAAAAGCTGTAGTTAAGTTTTGAATACAAAAAGCTTTTTTTTTTTTTTTTTTTTTTTTTTTTTTTTTAATGCAAAAGGAAATGAATTGCGAAGGTTTAAATATTCCCATGGAAATCTGACTTTGAGGTACTCAGCATGGAAACATGGAAAACTTGTATCCAAAAGATAAATTGAAGTAACTGAAAAAAAGTTTTCTAATAAAAACAACGTTCTTTGTAACAAACAGTGCTTTGTTATAGTGAACACATTCAAAATGTTGAGTTCTACAGTAGGTCTAGAGTAAGTTTATGTGATATTTTACCTCCACCATAACTGTGATGCTAAACCTCTTTATAGTGACCTCTTTCTTTTACCTATATAGTAATATAGGTAAGGACAACTGTGCTATATTCTTAATATCTCTTTCTATCTTGTGCTCACATTCTTGTTAGAATTGAGATTTAGGTTATTCTAAGACGTTTAAGACGATGCTGTTTTCACTATGAGGACTTTGAGCACATTGATTACTCTTTTTCTTCTTTTGAGGGTATTTCTGTGCTCGGTTACTGCACATGTGGCTCTGCCGTAGCCGTGAGTACTGTGAATACTGTTTTGTCGCGGGGCCCTGGCCAGCAGGCACACAGGAATGGCACGGCGTGCGAGGCAGCCTTCCTCCGCTGTGACCCAGTGCGCGGAAAAGGAGCAAGGAGGAGGGTCTGTCGCTGTAGCAAGTGGTGCGGATACTTGCTTATGGTAATTGGTTGAAGCACCTTACACCAGAATCCTCTGCACATGTGATGCACATTCTCCCCAGAGCTCATTATATCCAGCGTACAGAGACATCCCAGAGGGAGGGGGCAGCCGCGCCGCCTGTTCCAGCAGGGTGGCAGTAACAGCTCCCGCCTTGGTGATTCGTTGACTGACCGGCTGGGATATCACCATTTTTGCCAGTTGAGTTACTCCGTGTTTGTTGGGTCATTCTTACAAATTAGACGTTTTGCCCTATGGGAAAGAAAGAAGTTTTGCAATAGGTCAAATTTCTATTTAAAACCTAAATCATTGGTAACGTAGTGAGCGAATGGTTTATGCAGCCTTTAGTAGTTTGATCTGCTGCAGAGTAGTTATAATTTGGTAGGATATATTCAGACATCAAGTATCTACTGAAAATATGGAAGCCTTGCTGTCTAAAATCAACTGAACAATTTCTATTATTAATGGACCAAAGCTTTGTTAGGAAAATGTGGTGGAATAAGATTTATTTTCCTTAAGAAGATGTCAAAGAAGTAGCTGCTCATTATGTTCCTGATTCTGATCATCATAAAAGGTAAATGTTGATTGGAAAGTAATCATGTTTGTTTTTTAAATTGAGATTGGTGTTGGTTTTATGTCTAGATGAATTTTGACCAGTCTGAGCTACCTGAGAGTTTGTTTCCTAAGACTTAGAATGGCACCAAAGCTTCATTCTGAGTCAGTAAAAGAGAAATAGGCACTTCAAGAGGATGAGAATGGAGAGCACAAGATTTATTTAAGGGTGAAATGAATCACCAGCTGGAAGTGCTAGATCTCTCTCCACTGCTCATAAAGACTAGACTTAGGTGCTTCAAAGGTAGTTGTTCAAATTGCACAAAATCATTTCTACCATTACTTTTTCCTGGGTTTACTTGGGGAAATTCTTCAAATAACCTTGCAAGTCTTCCAGCCTTGCTATAAGAAACTCACCTTTTAATTTTGTGGGATGTTTTTCCCCACAAAAATAAAGGCACAGAAAGTTTGTAGGAAGAGGACTACAAGCAGTGGGACTCTATGAGCCTCAGGATGTTGAGGTTACCTTGAACAAAATTTTGAGATGACAGCACTGTGTGACACGCAGAGCTTGCCTTACCTACCTTCTGATTTGCATGGCTAGTAGACCTGATTAAAACTCCAATCTGCCTTCTGTCCTCTCTGAAGGGGCTTCCATCTGGTCCTCGTGATCTCACAGATTGTGAAAGAAAATTGAGTTCTTCCCTCAAACTCACTTGCGTTTCCTCTCGCAGCCTGCACAGGGTATCGGATGGTTGCTTTCCGCAGAGCCCTTCCAGTGTGTGCTGCACGTTCTGTGTCTGTGTTGCCTTCCGTGGAGCTATGGCTGCAATTCTTTTCTTGAAGAGAGAAGAAGCCAGTTTCAATGTGCCTCATTCCTGGTCGTACTTGTGGCTTTTTTGTTTGTTTTTAAGTTAGTCCTTGTGACTCATGATATCTTGTACTGTATTATCATGGTAGTTATTGGGAACTTCTCCAGCTTTGCAGGTGTTGATGGTTGTTCTTGTTGGTGACCGAGTTTGTCGTCTTTCGGGAATTGGTTCCTGATGCACAGGATGCACATCCCCAACTGACCTGAAAATTTTTAAATCGATTTTTAAATTTTGGTTTCTATTGATTTAATCTCTCTTGAATTACTAGTGACAGAATCACAGAATATTCAAGGTTGGAAGGGACCTCTAGAGATCATCTAGTCCAACCTTCCTGCTCAAGCAGGCACACCTACAGCATGTGGCACAGGGTGGCATCCAGGCGGGTTTTGAAGACCTCCAGAGAATGAAACTGCACAGCCTCTCTGGGCAGTCTGTTCCAGGGCTCTGTCACCCTAACAGTAAAGAAGTTCCTCCAAGAAGTTCCTGACAGTGAATTAATTTTTATTCCGACTAGAATACTAATTCAGAGCTGAGCAGCATGTTTTCTGGGTGGTGCCACTTTCCTCTTAATTTTATTCCTAAGAGGAGGGTCCTTGTAGAAGGAGGGCTCGGCGCGGGTGCGGTGCAGCCTGCAGTGCGGGTGCCAGAGCCATTGCAGGCAGAGGAGGGGGCAAGCTCACGCTTAGGGCTGCCTGTTATCAGTTTTGCTTTGGCACTTCAGCCTGGTGGTGCCATCTCCATTAGCTCTGGCAAGACGAGGCAGGCGCCTGGGCGCGGGGCCCTGCTGGGCCTGCCAGGCTGGCGGTGGTCCCTGCTTCGGCCGGAGGCCGTGACTGGTCCCGCGGTGCCACCCGCGCTGCCACTTCAGCACCCCCGAGCAGAGCGGCCCTTTTGGGAGCTGGATGCCTTTTAAATAATAATGTGGGCCTTTTTCTCTTTATGGAGGAAAAAGGGGAAATTGCATGTACAAGCTACAGTACAAACACAGCCTTGAATTGCAAGATTAGGCACTTGAAAGTAATGATTTTCCGAGTGTTTTCAGTATGCTAGCTCCTGGAAGCCTCCTCTTTCAAAGTGAATTAGTAGCCATCTTCATACTCTAAGAAACCTATGTAAAGAATAGTAAATAGGTATTTTTCAAATATTTCTTTTTCTAAGCAGCAAACAGCATTTTAAGCAAGCTTGCACGTACTGAATGCTTCTTCCACAGCAAGTATGTTCAGTTCTTAAAAGATGTTATTCTGTGAAGTGAACCTAATGGATGTAAATATTATGTACAGATCTTGTCCTTAAAACTGTCACAGCTGTTTCTTAAGAAGCTTATTTTCATAGGCCTTCCAGCATTATATCTCTCCTCCTTGTCAGCAGATAATTTCTTTGTGTATACTGAACATAGCTGAAACACTTGTGCTTTTATTTGTTTATCTATTGTAGAATACATAGAGGTGACAGTCACTAGAATGTGTTAAACCTGCCAAGCCAAATAGTGCAGTTTTCTCAAAACATGTGAGGCTGGGGCAGGGAAAGACCCTTCCAGCTACCAGGAATCCCTGTGCCACATCAGTGACCCTCTCACGTTTCATTACCTTAAAAAAAGCAGAACGTGGTTGGGGAAACACATTTTACTTAGAGGCTGCAGGTCAACGAATGAGAATTCAGCGCTGCAAACAAAAGTCCTCCCTGAAAACTGTGTGCTGACAAATAACTAACTTGAACTGAGAGTTTTTCTTTTGCCTCACTAGCTTGAAGAACTGTTCACATTCAGTTATATTAATTTCTGTGAATTTAAGATATAAGAGTGCGTGGAAAGATTGAAAGTGAACCTCTGGAATGTTGTTGGCTTATGTTGTTTTTCTGAGTTTGCTTTCTCTTCAGTGCAGAGAGGCCATTTTAATCTAAGCTGATGCCATTTGAATAAGTGGTTTGCTCCAGTGGAAAACTGCAGCTTCAAGGTTAAATAGAGAGACATTTGCAGACCCTGTCTGGGACAGTTACTAACTCAGGAATTAGGGCATCGCCTTGAGACATAAAAAGCTAAAGGTCAAGAGCAAGATTTCTTTGCTACCAATAAAAAAGAGAAATTAAGGTCTTATCTTGTAATAGATACTGGAGTGCTGCTTGGTTTTCATTAGAAAAATTAGCTAAAAAAGTAGCATTAAAAAAATCAAGATTTTTGGAAAAGCTACACTCCTTGCATAACGCAATGCAGTAGATAACACTCTGTGATTTGTGTTACAATATATTCTGCAATCTAGTTACTGTTGAATGCCACAAAAACTACACATTCATTCACTAAAAAAAAATGATACAGACATTGCCAATAGCTTTACAAAATCGAATCACATCACTGGAAATAATACAGCAAGGAAGCAATGGAGCAATACTGCTCATTGTAGAATAGTGTAGAACAACCTTTCTAATCTGAACTTTAT